CGAGCTGTGCCCAATGTCCCACCTTCTCTAAATGTAGTGGGAGACGTGCTGTCACCGACCAAAGCAAAAGTCTTAGTGTGTGGCGGCGATTCACACCCAACACCACATCAAAACTGAGTGTTCGACATGTGGTTCTGCTTCATTTTGAAATGGTCATGACGCATTTTGGCTCGCGATTAATAGGTCCCTCAGAGCTGTTGAATATTTGAAGGCCACAGCTAAACGTCAACATTTTTTTCCCGCCGTTTGTCATGAGACCCATCCCTGTTTTTGAGCATGAAACAACTTTTTGATCAGGGTTCTTTTTGAACCCTGACAGTTTTGTTTTACCTTTTGTGTGCCCGGGGAATTCGTCTCTATTTTAGCAGTCAGGATTAAACCTTTAGGCGTGTATCCAGATACAGGATGCATACTCGTATCAGTGCTGAAATAATGAGTTGGTGGGTAAATTAACTGATTTGTTGATCGATTGAGGAACATCAGTTATTTTGTTAACCAATTATTAATATGCTTGTTTTTTGTTTTTTTTTAAATTGTATTTGTATTTGTATTTTTTCTGAGTTCCATTGTATGTTGTATTGCTTTTATTGTAAGGCGACCTTGAGTGCCGTGAAAGGCGCCTTATTAAATAAAATGTATTATTATTATTATTAATTATTAACAGTTCATCAAACCAAACGTGTTGGTTCCAGATTGTCAGAGGATTTGCTTCTCTCTCTGTGCCATACCTTTTTGCAAACTGAAAATTTCTCACATTTGAACCACAACGTGATGAACTTGAAGACGTCATGTTGCGCTCTGGGACTTTTGAAAACATTTTTTTGCTATTTTCTGACACCATCTTTAGGTTTTCTTCAAAAAGAAATTGACAAATTACTTGATAATAACAACAATTGTTTCCCTTAATTCCTGCAGATGTGTGTACAGTACAGTTCATTCGTTTGCTAATTATTCTATTGATTGATTTAGTCTATACAGCCTCTGAAAACAGTATTGGTTGTCCATCACAATATCCTACAACACAAGGTGATGCCCTCAAATATATTGTGTTGTCAGACCAACGATTCAATATCCAAAAATGATAAATATATCCAATCAAATATAAGGAACTCCTAACTCCCGATCAAGCTACATCAAGCAACTGTCTGATCAACTTGTCATTGTAGCTGTACAGTGCAGCATTTTTCTCCAATAGCAGGTAAGACTTATAGTTTAAACCTGCATCTGAGGATTACTTTCATTATAATTTAATCTACTGTTTTTTCTTTGACTATTAATTTCCCTGTTTGATCAATAAATAAATAAATCAATCAATCCTTCATAATTTCACAAGGTGACTTTTAGTCAAAGTCCAAGTTGATGTCTTCAAATTGCTTCTTCTGCCAGACCAACACAGAGATTTAATTGGCTCTGGTTAAACAGCCAATTGTCACATTTCAGATGCTGGAACCATCAAATGTTTGGCATTTTACTGTGAAATATGACAAATGATTAATAATTCATCAAAACAGTTCCAGATGAATCGAATCAGTTACTTCATTGTGGTAGCGCTCAACAAGTTTGTTGCTCAAGGCCGCCTCGACCGTGCTCAATAAAAGGATGGAGTCTTGATCACTTTCCCACAGTTTCACAGCCAGTCTGGTGATCACAACTAGTCTGAAGCCAGTTTTTTTAGACCCCTGACCTCCAGGCTGCTGCCTCGCCTGTGTGTCTGAAAACGAGCAAGTCAGATATCTTGTCTTCATTTTCTGTCTCAGCGCTGCTCAATTTCAACTTGGTCTATTTGATATTCAGCAGCGGGACGAAGTTGTCACAGTGGCAGTGGAGTCTAGTAACAAGCTGTTACAGGGTGAAGAGAAGACAGGCATGATGTGACGATCTCTCCCCATCTCGTAGCGATGTTCGGCAGTGAATGACTGTCTGTGGATGCCAGAAGAAGCTGTCATAGAAATTACACTATACATGTCTTCTGAACTACTCCTGCTGCTTTGATTAACCCACAAGAGGAAGTGTTAAACTCTTATAGCTTTACACAAATGATCATTCAGTGGCTCAATGCGTACGGCACATTTTAGGATTTATTTAGTTGAATTTCTACTTTACCTAACCACCGTCAGCTGTACACTCAGAGATGTCTTACATTTTGATGCTTTTGGAAATCATCAGAGATTGGGTGTGAACCTCTTTTGTTCAGTTTATGTATGTGTGGGTGGAGAGAGGAATACCAATTGGGATAGTGGAGCGAAAGGTTTTCCAGTGGAGAAGTCAAGGTGTGCCCCTTACACAGATGCAGTGGCTGCTTTGCATTGTAGTCTGTTGAAGATCAGCGTGGGCAGAGAGATTGGTATATCTGCCTTTTCTGTCTCTGAGATACTCAATTTCTCATTGTTTCAGTGTTAAAATGTTGAGGTCAGCAGACATAATGTTTGCTATTTATAGATCAGGTATGAAAACAATTCTGCTATCAAACTCTTTTGGATTTTATCAATACATTGTTGACTTTATAAATAGTTAAAAATGGCCATTACAATTTTTTACAGAGCATGAGATTACGTCCTGAGATTGCTTGTTTTCCCTGACCAACAGGTCAATGCCAGGAATGTAGTCAGGAGCACCAAGTTCAAGTCACAGACAAGTCCAAGTCCAAGAACTGAGTCTAAGCTGGTTTGAGAAGCAAGTTAAGGCCACAAAAATACCATTCAGTTATCTTCATGCTGTAGTCCCACTGCTGTTTCAACTCAGAATCACTTGGTATGTTCCGCTGGTAACGGGCAGCAACTTAAATTTGCCTAAATGTTTTGTATCTTAAAATGATAAAAGGAGCATGGGTTACTGGCATGTCTCCGTTTGGCCCACTATAATACATACATAGATAAAACACAGCCATACCACTTACACGTTTGCCCCATTACGTAGGGGTGTGCCAAGAATAGAAACACATGTAGGTATGTAACGTGTATAATCCATGCCAATGTGAGAAGAGTTATTCTGCAAGTCCAGTCCTTGCAGTTGGCCTTGACCCCTTCGATCCAGAGTAGTAAGTAGTTACAAATATGACATATCCTCATCAATGCAACCTCTCAGAATTCACTGTTGGTTTGAGCACCTTCATTTTTTTCTGCAGAACTTTCAAGAGTTGCCATATCCAGTAATAAAATCAGCCACTCCTGTTTAGATGTGTGTGTGCTAATTTCAATGTACCGTCTTTTTTTTTTTACTCAAAATTGTTATTATAACTGAGAAAAACATAAAGTACTGTAGTGTTGCCAGATAAAAATTTCTTAGCAATTGTTTGGCTGAAAAAATACAGAAAAGGCCAGAAAAGTAATCTGGACTGAATTGAGGTCAAAAACTACAATAGGAAGGCTGCTGACAAGTCTGAGGTATCTGAAAAAATGTATTGAGACTAGAACTAGCAAGACCAACAGACTAATATAATCAACAACTGATTTATTAGTTTCAGTTTGTTTTAAAAAATTAGGTCCAACATCTCTGGGTCTCTTTTATATGATCAAAAAAAGCATATATGTTTGGGTTTTTCACCGTCGGTACGGCAAAACGAGGCATTTGAATATGTCATTTTTGACTCTAGGAAATGGTAATTGTCATTTTTCTACTGTTTTGTAGCACTTTACATTCAAAAGAGAAGAGAAAAAGATGATAGGATGTATCCTGATTCTTCTGGAGGGGAAATTGAAGTTGACACAGCAGCCCAAGGACAACATTTCCATAAATACTTATGTATATAGTAAAAGAAATAAAATAGATGTGTGTATGTACATGTGGTACAAGTCTGCTTGTATGTATGTATTGTATATGTGTGTAAGAACATGCAACTGCCGTGTCCAAAACCTAAATATATTCAGTTTACTATAATGTGAAATTGATTAATTGGTTAATAATAAATGTTTTTAGCACTGTATTCTGATTGCAGCAAGTTACAGCTATGATTAAAAAAGAGAAACACAATGCATTGCAGATAGTTGCTTTACCAGTGTTGAAGTGTTTGTAGGTGGATTCTTCCTTTAACTTTGGCAGTAGTAGTCATGCAGGATAGATGTGGAAGTCAGTGCAGATCCTGGGTGTGCTTGCACGATGGGTGCATGCCTAAACCAGTTAGTGTTGGACACAGGAGGAGCAGGAAATGAAAGCAAGACTCAGTGTATGTTGTGGTTATGCTGGTGGAATTTCGGGCGATCTCTGGCCTAGTCGGTCAAGAAGACGGGTCCTGCGGGAGTGTGGGGGATGGGAAGGAGCAGATTCAGGGTGAAGGGAGGATAGCTCCAGCTCCAGGCAACCTACCAAGTGTGGGGTATAATCTGACAGCACTCAGCCAAGACACATGCAGGGCTAAGACCAGGCACCCTACCAAGACTGGGGCCTGTGGGGACATCCTGGTGAGAGCTAAGCCTCCAATGGGCCTGGAGTGGCGCCAGGAGCCACACACACACACACACACACACACACACACACACACACACACATATGCGAATGCATAGTAAAGTCACACACACGTGGTAGAGCTTGGCCAGTCTCTCATACACACCCACACACAAATGCATACACACTGTGCATGCAAACAGCACCACACATGGGGCGGATGAATGGAGCAATAAGACAAAGAAAGCGTGAGGGCTGAGGAAATACAAGGTTTGCAGTCTGAATGGGAGGTTTGGAGAGCCAGATTTGTTGTGTGTGTGTGTGTGTGTGTGAGTGTGCATTAGCGCATCAACATCTCATTCAGTCAGACCTCCCAACTACAACAGGATCTGCTGTGTATGAAATTAGCCTAATCGAGTTAAATCAACATTTTGTGGACGTCTCTGCCGCACTTTCCTGTTGACTAATTAAGCTGTCATAGTGTGGTCCAACTAGAAATTGCCCTGTATATATTTGGATGACCTTGCAATGCTGACTGACATTTCTCTTTCTTTTTCTTTCCATTCTCCACGCTCTCTTTCTCTGTCCCTGTCTTCTCCTCTTTGCTTTCCTCTCTGCAGATTATGTTTATTTTGAGAACTCGTCCAGTAACCCACTGCTGATCAGGAGGATAGAGGAGTTGAATAAGGTGAGTGAGTGGGTGGGTGTAAGAGGTTGACTTTGTACACTTGAATACAATGCAAACGCACTCTTGATAAGTTTCGTTTTGTTTACTTTTAATTGCCCTTGTATCTCTTTTGTTATCATAAAGTAAAAGTCTAAATTGAGCTTGTAATGTAGAATAATTTCCTCAATTCTGTGGAATATCTATTTGTCAAATTTGATTTTGTCACATTTTTGAGTTGGCTTTTGTGATAATTGGAAACTCTTTTTTACTTCATGCACAGTTGAGTGTTCAGTACATTCACTTCTTGTTATATGGAAAGAGAAAAAATCTAAACTTATAGTCGTGTTCCTTTTATTTTTACACGTATCACTATGCAATGTTTTGACATTTAGTCAAAATATTTGAATTAAAATGCAAATTCTGGTCTGCGAATGTTGAAAATTCTACAGAGTTACTCTCGTATAGACCTCAAATGATTAGCAGATTTGTTTTTTGTCAGAAACAAAATCTTCCAGTTATTTTGGCAATTGAGTATTCTCCCAAAACATTAAGATTCCGGCTTCTGAAATGTGAGGCAGATTTTCTTGTCATATATGACCATAAATGGGACGTCATTGGGCTGAAGACTGTTGGTCTGATGAAACAACAAATTTCAAGATATGACCTTGATCTTTACGAAGTCGCAGCATTTATTTTTTCTACTAATTTCCAACATTTTATAGACCAAATAATTCATTGATTAAAAAAGAAAAGAATCAGTGCATGAACTGATATCGAACTGTTAGTTGCATCCCAAGTCTAGTAGTAGAATTTTAGGTCCCTGTTAAATTAAGATAATTATTCTTATATATATATTTTATGGAATGCTGCCATTATTCTTCATAATATTAAGATTAATGTTTGCTTAAGATTTAAATCACTTTGATTATTTTCTCGTTTTTTTTGTGAGATAAGGTCATAACTGATAGTGTTGATATGCCAATAACATGCTATTAGTAGTTCCTATTGTGTTAAATCTATCCCTACTATACTATTGTAAATATAGGAGAAGTGTGCTTTGAATATTGTACATATCTTTATCACGCTGAAAGCAGTGAGAACAGTTCTGTATTAACATGTCACAAGGATGATGATGATACCGTTTCCAAAGGTGCCGGGTAAATCCCAGCCTGCTGTTCCGTACATTGTTCAGTCAAAGAAGCAGAAAAAGAGTCCTGTCTCTGTAGACTAGTTACAGGTGCCCGCTGTCTGTCCCCTGTTCCAGGCCTGTGCTGGATAATATGGAGCCTGTTTAATGTGATTGACACAGAGCTCAGAGTCAGCCTTCTATTCTGCCTGTCACTGTCAGTCTCTCTGCTCCTCAGGGATCTTTGGGTTTCTCCTCCATGAGGTCTGAGATGCAGGTTTAGAAGGGATAGAAGTGTGAGAGGGAAAAAAATCTCGACAACTCCCAACTGCTCAAAACATAAAAACACAGAAATCCAACAACTGAGTCTGAAAGCTTTTGTGCATAACACTTAAGTGTAGTCTAAAGTGTTCCCTAGCACCATGCAAATCAATATGTGTTTTGCTTTTTTCTTCTTTTAAAAAAAGCAAATGGCATTGAAAACAGTTAAAAGTCTGCATCACCGTGTCCTAAATTAGAAAAAGATGGTATGACATTGCTTGTTCTGTCTGACCAATTGATACTAAAGATTTTAAAGTTAGAGAATATTAGGCCTGTTTGCTGTAAAGAAACTGAATTAAATTGGTTATCAAAATATTTTATAGTAGACTAGTGATATAATTGACTGTAAGTCTGAGTGCGTAAAAATCGAAATTGTGACATTAACTTACTCAAAATCAATCAGGGAAATGCTTCTTCTGTTCTGCCACATGTCTAAACTATACATTGGTGTTATATTAACAGATATGTCTTTACTTTTTCCTGTTTCGAAAACTTATGTCACCTACCTGCCTGTATTTCTGTTTGATCTCAGTGTTCTCCCTCTGTTGGGCTGCACACTGAGTATTAGCTTGCATGTAACTCACATGCACCTATTAATATTCATGACTTTATAATGGGAATGTCAAAGGAAATCATACTTTTAATTCTGTTGTACTTGTAAAATTGCTTTAGAATTTTACTGTAATGTGAAAGAATGACATTAGGTTACTCTACATGTAATTAAAATCAGGCCTTAGTTTTGCTGCACACTTACGGTCATAAATGTTGCTTGTTTGGGTTTTTCTTACAGACATACAACAGATGTCATAGTATTGACTGTAAATCTGTTTTTCTTTTTACTTCTTTTCTTGTTAACGTTCGATATTTTCTGCTTCACTTTCCCCGCCCAACTTAAAGTTTAGTTTCAAACTTTGACATACCGCTAATTTTACAAATTGATATTGTAAATGTTAAGATTATCTGTGGCTGTGCAATTGCCAAAAAAGTACATCCTGCCGTGACTCATGCACAAGGAAAGAGCAAAACCTAAACTGAATATGGGAACACCAGTCTTAGTGGAAGTCCTCTGCACTTCATTAAAAACCTACTTCATTTGTAAAGAAAAGTGTTTTAGTTTGCTCCATAAAACAGTCAGAAATGAGCCAATTATCATTTCTCTGTTCTGCAGCCTTTTCTTCAAACATGGAACTGGGAAATTGGATTTTAATTATTTGATGAACTAGACAGTCTGCAGTGCTGAAGTGTCCACAGAATTTAAAGATATGTTTGCTTATTCTTTGTCATCTCTCCATCCATCTCCCGCTCAGATTATACCTCACTGGTTAGATTCATGAGAGAGTTCCCTCTCCAGTGTACATGGCTTATGACAGTGTACAAATGTGATTGTCGGCGATGAGTAACACTTAAAACAAGTTAATTACTGTTTGAGGTTACACTTATTTATGTGTGGGGACTTAAAAGAGGTAAAAGCTACAAATCAATTCCTAAACAAAGCTCATTGCTTTTTTGGATTTTACATCATTTTACCCAGAGTGGTAGTTTGCCTTTTTCAGGTACTAAAAGCGTTGTCATGCAGTTTCTAATTAAAAAACCTACCAATGTAGTATTATCAGGGAGAAGCAAATCTTGGCACTGCACAGACATTCTCTAACACACCACCCCGTCCTGATCACTGCAGCACGTGATTTTGGTGGATTGCTGTGGCCTCACACTTTGTTTTCAGGCAAAGTTAAAAAACTACCCTCAGCTATTGGTTTTTCATCTGTGTGTGTGTGTGTTTGTGCATGCGCATGTGTTGGTGCTCTGTGTGCGGCACCACTTGTTGCCTTGGTAACGCCGATTGTCTCTGGTTTGCAGACAGCCAATGGGAATGTGGAGGCCAAAGTGGTGTGTTTTTACCGGCGCAGGGACATCTCCAGCACACTCATCGCTCTGGCAGACAAACATGCAAGTGAGTGACCGACCATAACCCAGCCAGCAAACATCAAAAACTATGCTAACCAGGACGTAATAATGTTCTTTTTGGCAACCCTCTGCAGTTATTTTCCACTGCAAAGTTGTTGTGTCTTCACATCAGATCCAGTCAAATCCAATCCCTTTCCTGAAACTGAAAAATAGAGCTCTAACTTGTTGTTTGGCTTCATTGTAAGGCCTGTCTGCACCCCACCTTTTATTAGGGGGTGATAAAAAATTGAAGTTTGTGTGCTTTTACTGAACCGGTCCAGACTGCAGCCCCTCCTCTGGTAGACTGGATTGCAGACAGCATTCGATCTGCTGTTGTATATCAATACGGCGACACCTGTGTGTGTGCGTGCGTGTGTGTGTGTGTGTGTGCACATGTGCTCTTCCTGTTGAAGCGTGGGTGTGTAACGTGTGCTTGAATGTGTTGCTGTCCTCCACAGCTTGGAGCAAGCTCTGCAATATCTGGAACAGCTGGCACACTTTGAATGAGCTCTACCTCAAGCAGCATTGTGTGGCCTTTTAATGTTCCGGGTACTGGGATGTTTTTCAGAGAGAAGGGCTGTCAAACTATGATTTCAAAAATGGTCAGGGGGAATACAGAAGCTCAGAGGGACTGATGTGGTAAGTCTGGGATGGTTAGTAGTAAAAGAAGGATTTGTGGAAGAAGACTGAGTCACAGGTAACGGAAGTGTGTCGCTTAAAAGCCAGAGCCATTCAGGCTGTTGGGTCACCTCCCTAGTGGTCAGTTGGAAAATGATGCCTTCAGGGCACTGCTCCAGAGTGCCTGAATTCAAAGAGTAAAGAGGCAAAGAGGGATACAGGATTTATTCATACTTCAGGCAATTGCTTTTTTGTGGCATGACCACCGCTCTCACATCACCTCTTTTGACCATGGAAAAAAGTGTCTATTTTAACACTGCACGGTGCCACTGACTTCTCTGATCTTGTCGTCTGATATTTGTGTGCCAACGTGTGGTGTTTCGGTTTGTTAGGTGGCTAGATTGCCTATCTTGCCTAGAAAGATAATATATTTGAAATGAGGGTTTATATCGACCTATGCTTCTCATTTGATTTGACCTGACTGTGTGCAACATTCGCTCTCATTGGAAACTCTTGGTTGTCCATGTCCATCCTGCCACCCACTACCCACATGTTGCAAGATATTTGCAGAAATTGTGAAGTTAGTCATCCTTATTAATCACATTCATTCTTTCTTTCTCCTGCTTTTCTTTGTTTTTCTAAAAATCTTCTCAAAATCTTATTAGTGCCCATATTAAACTAAAAATCATAAACGATGGTTGTCTTTAAATCTTCTAACAAGGAGATTACTTAGTGTTCCACCAGTTTGTAACCATAGTTGGGCTGATTTCCTTCATGTGGTTATATTTTAAGTATTTTAGCAGATCATGATTTCTGTGAGCCACCATAACTTCTGTTTGTTCCAGAATCTTCCCATGTACTTCCTGGTTACCGCATAAAGCAAGTGCATCTAATCCACGAGGAAAGTGTGTAGGAGAGGGACGAACGTTATCAAAAGTTTCAAACAGACTCCTGCATTTAATAGCGACATTTTGGTGCTAGACCATCATCAAGGTCTAGCACTTAAATGTTATTATAAAATGTGGTTTTGCAAGTTAGAAAGTGTGCCGGAGTCTTTTGACACTGCATGAAGTACTTTTAGCTCAGTATCACAAGGTTTAACCAAGCACATTCCTCTGAGATGGGGAGTGAGGACTACAGTAGCTACAGAGATGACTGAGTGCAACATATGTGAACCAATTTCTGTGAATTTCTGCTGTCTGATTAAAAAAACAAAAAGGGAAGATCAGTATAGTTGAATACAAACTCATTAATATGGAGACATAGTCAAGTGCCTGAGTGGGCTGTGACTGTATTGTTCTGCATGTGATTACAGATGGCCTGTATGGCTCTGTCTCTGTGTGTAATTTAGTGCTGCATGCCAACCGTACTGACACATACAGGCTGCAGTTACAGTATGCAGGTTTAAAAAACACTAAGGACTTCCCTAGTCAACTAGTAGTCTTTAGTTCAAGCCATTAGTTGACCAGTTTTGGCACTTTTAAATAGCGCATGATTAAATATTCATGTAGGCTATCTAACGTTAGAAAAAGCAGCAATGCTAAGTGGCCACTTAATTCTTTCATATCACAAGCCATGTTTGAGGTCGACTAGTCTCGCTTAGCCGGCCTATTCTGTAGTACATAATGGTCTGGCTGCACCTTTTCATTTTTCTGCTATAAGGGGAAAAAACGCTCTGACTTGTTCATATTTCTTTAAACCAATCACAGTCATCTTGGGCGGAGCTAAACAAATGACGCGTCTTTGATGTTCACTCAAAAAAGTGACGGTTGGAGCTGTTCTGGTGGAACATTTGCATGCAGGGAGACGAGCACTGTCATTAAAATGGACAATCCTCCAGAAAAACACTAGCAGGTGCCGCTTGTTACCTGCAGCCTGTAGCCTACATCTTACATCCGGTGAGTCAGACTAGAGGTCGACAGATGACAGGCAAATGTTTGTCTGAGGGTTTGTATGTCACAACCTTGTGATTGTCTTTTACCTTCTCAAGATAATGACACAATTTGGATTTCCTGCCCAATATTGTATGTTGTGCATAATTACTATGTAATAGCCACAGGGACCAGCCATGTAGAGAATAACGTCTGTCTGTGACTGATTGACTGACTGATTGACTGATTGACTGATTGACTGACTGACTGACTGACTGACTGACTGACTCTCGCCACCTCCTGTAAAGTTTGAGCTTTTTTTTCTAATCAATCAAAAACTTGGTCAGCTGAAGCTCTTTTCACCAACAGATGTTTTTTGACTGTTAAGGGGCAGTTCAGAGCTGTCTGTCCCTCTGCTTGTGCACACACATTCACATCAAGTACACCCACTCTGACCTAACTCTTTGAATCTTTTCTGGACATGTTATGCTCTTTTCACATTTTTACTGACTGTGTCCTTGTTTTTCATTTCAATATAAATCCTGCACCTCGATGGAAACAGCATTATCATGGCGAGAAGTAGAACACTCAAAAATCATAAAGTTATGTCATAAATCATAAAAAAGGGGAAAAAAAACTAACGGTAAATTTCTGTGATTATTCATTTATCAACAAAGGTATTTTACAGCTTGCATCTTTTAATATGTTTTCATACTTGTCTCTCGTCTGCTCTGTGTAAGCTCGGCCTGCAGTTCAGCCCAGTTCAGCTGAAAAGTCCCTGAATTTTTGTCATGTGATGCTTTGCCTCATTTGAGTTTCTACTGGCTTTTCAGTTGAACAGAGAAGAGCAGAATTTTGTTGTTGACAGAATCTGGTTACTGTAAATAGATTATTTTTTAGAACATTCTTAATTGAAACATGTAGAATAAATTAAATTAAATAGCTCTTTTTTTTTTTTATTCTGGATTTTTTTTTGTCCCCCCAGTAAAACCAATGTCACACATGATAAGTTCAAGAACCGTCGGATTTTTATAATAATAACATGCCTTTCAAACCCGCAAGCCCGTTTTGGGTATTAGAGGGTGACATTTTATATTAAGCATACTTACACATCAGAGGCTAATCAGATCATCGTCCACCATTCAAAACAGTCGAGCTGGTAGAAAAAAATAAAAACTGCCGTCCTGTAGTCGAGGCTTGCAAAACCAGCCACTAGACTTTGACTGGGTGTGGCAGGCTAAACGCTGGCTCCAGGGGTGTGAAAGTCTACGTGTGTCTTTGTGTGCGCGTTTTGAGAGTGTCCTGTTTGAATGAGCGCACATGCATGTGTGTGTGTGTGTACGTATGACTCCTAACCGCAGAGTCCACAGAGGAGGCCTGGGGGGTGTTACCCATAGCAGCGCAGGATTGTTTGTTCTGCCGGACCACACAGCATCAGCTTGTCAGAGTGCGCATCCATTTAAGAAAGTCTGTGTTTATTTCTGTGCAGTGTTTGTGTGCATGCATTCAAACTTGTGCTATTTTGTCCGGATTGTTGATTGCCTTGCTGTAGATTGAGGAGGTGATGAATTCTTACGTGGTGTGTCTAATAGAACGATGAAGTATTATGACTCTCTAAAGCCAAGATAGTTGGGTATTTTTATTGATTTTGTGTGTGTCCTCTTCCCTGTGGTTTGGTAAGTAAACATGAATATTTCATTTATCAACAAGGTTGCGTTGCTTGTGAAACAAATGCAGATACAGCATCATCTGAAAGTTCTGAAACAATGAAGGATGTTGCAAGGTACCGCATCTTGGAAATGGAGGCTTCTTGGATTTTTCGGTGCTGCAGTTCGGTGAGGGTCTTCCAGACATTTGCAATATTTAAAAAAAAAAAAAAAAGCATGGCAGGAATGGCTGTGCACCGCATGGGTGTGGGCTGCATCCTGTCTGCATTTCTGTAGCTGCAGCCTCACTTTCTCCGAGCCTATGTGAGCGTATGCATGCTTGTGTGTGTGAACATGTGTTCTTGCATGATGGACTGGACTTCTTAGCTCTGGGCTCTGTCAGAGGAATTGCTGGAGGGGTATATTTAATTCAGTTTGGTTATGGATCAGTGGCGAATGGCAGTCGTGTGTGTGTGTGTGTGTGTGTGGGTGCATACGAGCCTGCGTGTCTTTATGTGTGTCTGCTGTGAGTCATTGATCAAATATTTTGCTTTCAGAGATTCGGAGCACTCCCTCAATGGGGCCTCCAACTCCAGCATTAGTCCCTCCCTTGTGAGCGAAGCAGGCTCCTGAGTGGTCAGCTTTGTGGCGGACTTGGCATTTTACCTCCCTTGCACCTCCTTCCAGACATTTGAATTTGCCATGACTCAAACCTATTTCTATTTTTGAGATGTGGGTCTTTGCTCCCATAAACAATAGACAACAATGTTGCCAATGAACTCCAAAAGTAGAGCCAGTCTGACTAAAGTCACACTGATTGTGTGCTTAAGTACAGTATGTGGTTTCTTTTTGCTTAGGCTTCAAAAGGGTCA